CAGGTGGCAGCCCTGGGCCTCGGCCGTGAGGAACCAGCCGACAGCCGCCTGAGTACACGGCGGCGCGCTGAGATGGACACGTCACACACAGGGGGCCCATCAGCCAATGTGATCACTCCCGGTGCAGATATGGGGAATTTAATACAGGTTGTATCCCAAGAACTTTGATTATGGAGCCTTATGGTTTTCTAAAAAAAAACTAAAACCCCAGCAGAACCTCTTTACTTTCAGTCTCTCTCTCTCTATCTGAAAATCTCTCCCCCTTTCTCTGAACAGGCAGGCAGGCAGGGAGGGGTCAATGATAAGACTCATTTAGCGTTTAAATTTGAGCTTCAGCTACTGAGCTCTATAAACACTGTTTTCTTTCAGGAAGGGGTCAGTGCTCAGACTTATTCAGTGTGTATATTCCAGCTTAAAGGAGAACTATGAGGTGAGTGATTTACACTCGTCCTCATAGTTCGAGCCGACCTGAGACAATGAAACTGTCACACGTCGGCTCAATAGATCGGGAAGTGAGCGAACACATACCGCTGCTCGCTCACTTCTCCATCATGTCCCTGCAGAGAGCGGTGAATGTCACTCATGGCTCCCTGCAGGGATTTCCCCCTCCCCGCTCCGATCCTCCAGCGCCGACTGGCGAAACGGACGGGGGAGAGGGCGGCAACAGCTGGCTCTGGCTCTAGATAGGCAGAGCCAGCTGTCAATCATGCAGCTGGGTGGATCCAGACAGTAATGTTGGGATGCGTCCCGGCTGCGGTGGTCTCAGTATGCCGTGAGCTGTAGCTCGCTATATACTGAGCTTTGGGTCACGAGAGGACGCCTAGTTTATGTCCTCCCGTTACCCTTAGGAGAACTATGGGGAAAAACACTGACCCCATAGCAAGTCCTGGAATAAATAAATAACAAACTATACAAAACTTTTATATGTCCCCTGTAAATAAAAATAAATAAATAAATGAAGAGAAATGCTAATTTTGAAATATGTAGAAACATACCGAGGTGCGAGGTGAAGAGAGCTGACTCCGTCAAAGCCAGTGGATCATGGAACCAGTGACCAGAAGCTGTGGTTGGGACTGAACATTGATAATGGCCACCATGGAACCTTCATGGGGTCAGCTGATCATCTGGTCACCAAAACATCAGCCGCCTGAACCTGTGGACAGACAAGAACGTCTGGTTAGTGATGACTATACACAGCATAAGGTCTTACACACTTTCCTGGATCTCAGATATCGTTTTATGGTTTAGGAATGGCCAACCTGTGTCTCTGAACTCCGGATGGGGGTATTGTGAGCAAGTTTTTGGAAATACCTTTTATAAGAAAAGTCTAGAAAGAGGACGCCTAGTTTATGTCCTCCCGTTACCCTTAGGAGAACTATGGGGAAAAACACTGACCCCATAGCAAGTCCTGGAATAAATAAATAACAAACTATACAAAACTTTTATATGTCCCCTGTAAATAAAAATAAATAAATAAATGAAGAGAAATGCTAATTTTGAAATATGTAGAAACATACCGAGGTGCGAGGTGAAGAGAGCTGACTCCGTCAAAGCCAGTGGATCATGGAACCAGTGACCAGAAGCTGTGGTTGGGACTGAACATTGATAATGGCCACCATGGAACCTTCATGGGGTCAGCTGATCATCTGGTCACCAAAACATCAGCCGCCTGAACCTGTGGACAGACAAGAACGTCTGGTTAGTGATGACTATACACAGCATAAGGTCTTACACACTTTCCTGGATCTCAGATATCGTTTTATGGTTTAGGAATGGCCAACCTGTGTCTCTGAACTCCGGATGGGGGTATTGTGAGCAAGTTTTTGGAAATACCTTTTATAAGAAAAGTCTAGAAAAAGGGGTTTGAGGGCGCTGCTTCCCTGGCGTGATATGGTGTCCTAATTAGGATTGTCCTCTTGGACCTCGAACCTTCTTGGTTTTGGAAGACTAAAGCCTGGCTGCTCTCTTGTATATCAGAGTCCTTAAAGCAGAACTCCCATTGAAAATAATTCACAGAACCTTCCCCTGCAGTACTTATTTTCCACTGATATACAGTATGTCCTCAGTCTTCTGGGGTGAATGACAGCCAGCATCATTCAACCCACTTCCTCTGATCCCAGGCCATTGTGGACCGAGCTTCAGCCTGTGACTGGACAGTGAAGGAGATGCAGCACAATGATGAGCTTATCTCTCTCTCTCACTCTGCTTTCTCCTCCTATCGACATGCTCTTTGTTAGCACATGAACAGATTGGCTCCTTGTGCCGCTTCTTCCTCTCTCCAACAAGTTCTGCTGTACAGGGATTGCAGAAGGCTGAGGTCACATCCAGGTACAATGCTGACAATTAAAAAATAAACTTAATGATGTATTAATAGAGAGCTGAATACATGTGTTTTTAATATATATGTACAGATCAAGACTCAGTGTCCCAAAAAAATAAAAAAGAAAGTGCCACATAAATGCTGAAGTCCAGGTATAGTTTATTAATATCCTTCATAGAGCACCCAACACACTTCAGGGGCTCTACAAGGCCCCCTTCATCAGGGCTTGAAAACAATGGCCTGTTGGAGATCCAGCCATTGGGAAGTGTGTATCTTGAGTGAACAGCTTTGTATTGGGATCTGCTTCAGTAACTTCAAAGTCCATCATTTTCAACCCTACCAGTTACAAACTTCCTGTCCTAGGGTGCCAACCAGGGGCGTAACAATAGCCATAGCAGCCCATGTGGCTGCTATGGGGCCTGGGGGTGGAAGGTGGCCCCATGAAGGATTGCACAAGTTGCTGTTGACCTTGTACCGCTTATGGAATTTCCAATCAAGAAGAGTTGATATGAGATGTACAGGAAGAGACTATGCAGACAGCTCTCCTACTACTCGTCCTTGATTTTGATTTTAAGGGTTTGCCATGGGGCCCAATTAAAATTTAGCTCTGGGGACACATGATCTGTACTTACACCCCTGGTGCCAACGCTCAACCACTGTACAGTATCTATGGAGGGGCAATGTTGTCCACACTAGGCTTGCCTCCTGATTTAGACTACAAAACACTCCCCATCTTCAGGGTGCCGATGCTTTGTAGAACCAGGAAGGCTGATAAGATTGTTTGGGGGGTTCAGTGCACAGGAAGTTACAAGGGCACAAGATTTCCTGGCAGGATCAACAGAAAACTAATGCAGCCACCAGATCATATAACTGGTAAGCTGCAATATTGAATATATGACATTAGACGTGTAAGCTGCGGAAAAATTTGGTTTGGATGTTTCATTATTTCAGAATTCGGATGCGAAAATCAATTTGGTTCGGGTTTCGGATTCGGACGAAATCCGAAGTTCGTTAGTTTCGGACGAGTTTACGAATATTCGTTGTGAGTGAAATAGAAAACCGTATACAGATATTAATACTATAGCTGAGGCTCCAGAACCCGATTGGTATTCGGGGAGCTCCTGAATGTAATTCGGAAATTTGGATCCCGAATGCCATTCGGGTCTGGGAGCCTCAGCTATAGTATTATACTAAGCACGAATTTCCGTTACAGCATGTGACTTTTCTGGCCAATCAGATGGCTCTCATGTTGCCGTAGCAAAAATTTGTGTTCAGACCCATTCGGATGCATTAGACCGAAAAACACATCCGATTGGCCAGAAAAGCCACATGTCCGATTCAGTTTAGTTTTTGAACGAAATTCGGACGGGATCCAAAATTGGGATTCGGATGCATTGGGATCCCGATTTTGGAAAATGTGTCCAAATTTTGATTCGGAACAAAACGAATTGCACGTGTCTATATGACATATTGTTCTTGGGTTTAGAAAACCTTCAGGGGCGTCCCGAGGCTGGGTGTCAGCTGCGTCGTCATCGCGCGTGCGCGTGGCGTCACCTCGCGTGTGCGCGATGAAGTCATGCCCGTCTGATTGATGCCTGCCGGCGGCCATCTTGGTGATGGACGTCGGCAGAGAGAAGAGGGAATGTTCACCCGGCAAGATGAGGTATGTCGCCGGGTCCCCACCTCTCTCCTGACACTGTCCATGACTAAATGCCCCACTTTTTAGAGGGGGTGACACCAAAATGACTGTCCATCATTTTGGTGTCACCCCTGAAATGGTGTTTCCCGTGTGCGGGCCGCACCGCCTGCACCTCCCTTGTGACGCCACTGCAAACCTTCAATCCTCGCAGGGAGCCTTAATACCCTGAACTCCTCGGAGACCTGGAATTGTCATCATGCCTCCAGGAAATGGTTAAACATCTCATGTGGATCTTTCTCCTTTCGCCTAATAAGGACCTACAACGGAGGGAGAGGCTGCAGAGCCCCGGTGTCTGCTACCAGAAAAAAATTCTCCGGGTCTTAGACTATCACACGTCCTGTAATTTAGCACACACAGGCCTCACTGATTCCGGGAAGACCCATTCACACCCCGTGCCTTCTCATAACCGCACTGTGAGATAGAGAGCGGGAAACGTCCCGGGACACAAAACAGAACCGTTCAGACCCCCAGCTGTGTGAAGTGTGAACTCTACACATGATGGATCTTTTATTAGTTATTGATAGATTGGGTGCGGGTCAGAACGTCTGCCAAATATTGTTCCTGGAACGTGTCCAAATGAGGCGCTGGCAGGACCCATCTGTTTCGGTCACATCGGGGGGGGGGGTTTAGCAGTGTGCCTGCCGCCTCCTTCACGGCCAGAGCGTCTCAGGTTGCTAAGAGCACAGCAACTCATGATGTCAGTGAGCTGGGCGGGATACCACCCAGAGCCAGATGTAATGTGCACCACCTTAAACCCCCCCAAGTATGGTGAACCACCAGCACCCCCCCAGTAATGTTCACCAGCAGCGGCCCCAACCCTCCCCATCCCAGCACTCTGGTGGCGAAAAAACAACCAGCACATTTCAGGGCTCCGCCTTCAGGGCTCAAATAGAGTTAGAAACACTCAACTCTGACACAGTCACCAGAATACATTTTTGGAGGAATCAGCTGTGGAAAGTGGCAATTGTTCTGCTGCTCTATGGTTCACATGCGCACTCCTCTCCATGGATTATTTGTCTGATAGCGGCTTCTGGTGACTGTGCCTTTTTTGTTACAGTATTTGAGCCCTGAAGAAGGAGGAGGTCTTTGAGCGCCGAAATGCGTTGGCTGTTTTATGCCTTCTTGTATGAATTCACACCAGTATTAAAAGATTGTGTTTGACGCAATTAGACTCTCCTCATTAGAGTTCCTATACCTGGATTCTAAACTCTGGGTCCCCTTGACTAAGGGGTACTCTATGTGTCCTGAGACCAGCCTCACCAGAGCCACTGCGAGCCGTGTGTGATCTTCAACTATGAATGGCGAGGTAAAACATTTTTGGACTCTGAAGCCGGCCATACATTGCTGTGGGGCTGAACCCCATCCACACTAAACAGCATGGATGATGGGAATACCCCCGCTGGACTATCCTGGGTGTGTAGCTGTCAGAACACCTAGGGGTCTATTCACAAAGCTGCCAAGGGCAGCCGAGTGAATGACCGATCAGAAGTGAAGTGAGCCGAACACTGTTCAGCTATTCACTAACTACAATCCCTGTCCAGCTGAGAATTTTTGGCCTTCTTCCTTTGCAAAAATGACTTTTGTTGGAGGGGACAGAGCCACACACTGCTCCACAGCACCAACCGGCTGAGATTTGAGCAGTTACCAGTCAGTAGACATGTGCGATTCGTTTCGTTCCGAATCGAAATTCGGAAAAATGTTCGGAAATTCGGACATTCGGATGTATCTGAATTCCGAATTACAGATATAACGAATGCAAACGGATCTGAGTTTCCGTTTCCGAAATTCATTAGCGGTAGTTCGTTCGAACGTTCGTTTCGTTTTCGTTTCTTATTCTTTTCGTTCGTTCGTTGCAGCAAAGTGACATTAGAGAAGGAGAAAAACATTTTGTGCTAATGAACGAACGAATGAACGAAACGAATACGAAACGAAACAAACGAACTACCACTAACGAATTTCGTCCGAATTCGAAATGACTTTCACACCGGAATCCCAAAAAACGAAATAACAAAAAATCCGAATCAAAACAAAACGAAACTAAACAAATTTTTTGCCAGTGCACATGTCTACCAGTCAGATAAAGTTCCTTGTTCTGGAGCTTCCATTAGACTTCCGGTCTAGGT